GACTCGCCATGGAGATTGTCTCATGCTCTGCACCTACAACGCCAGGACAGTCTCCACCAACGCCGACCTTTACGCTCTTCTTGAAGCTGCAGGGCGCATCAACTACCACGTAATCGCCCGCCTTGCAGGAAACAAGATCCAGGAAGACGGACGTGAGGCACCTGATTGGTGGCACACTCATCATACGTGGTGAAAAAGTTCCATCACGGAATGTTGGAGGCGTTGGATTTGTCGTACACCCATCTGCTGTCCATCTTGTCCATTCGCATGAGATCCTATCACCTCGCCTGGCTATCCTTCAACTCCGTCCTCTGCATCAGAAAGCCATCACTCTTATCAACTGTTGGATGGAGGATTTGGAGGAAGTCATCCGCAAAGAAAACTCCTTCTATAAGTTCGTCGTGGGTGACTTCAATGCGAAATCGGGATGCCAGAAGAAGGGGAGCATAGGAGCGGGAGATTTGGATCAGGAATTCGGGATGAAAATGGTAACCGTCTTATTGGGCTCTTATCCGCCGTACGACTTTTTCATGGCAACTCCATTTTCATAAAGAAAGAACACCGGCGTTGGAAATGGGAGTCACTCAACGACTCGTTCCCAATCAAAGGTGGTGCTTACTGGACGTCTCAGTGGTACCATCCTTCAGCAATGGCTCAGTCACCGTCTCCTTCTAGCAAAAGTGCGACTAGCCGAAAGCTGGAAAAGAAGTTCTGCTACCGTGTTGGAGGAAGGAGAGAAGTCGTATATGACGGCGTCAGATTGGAGGAGCTCCCGACCACTTGTGACTGGCCCATCAAGGAGGACTCGACGAAAGACTACAAGCTGCTTCTTAGAGGACTGAGAGCCTGTGGTGAAAGTACCTCAATGCTTAGCACAAGGAACTTGGAACGAAATTCGAAAGCCATCAAGGATCTGCTAGAGAGGAGAAGAGCGCTGAGGTTGGATCAGTGTGCATCACATCTCGAGCAGATGGTAGGCAATACCGGTTGCAGAATACTTTGCAAGAAGATCTTCGAAAGTACAGGAAATAGAAACTTTTGGAAGCAGCATAAGAAAGGAGAAGTCTAAAAAA